GGGCGGAGCGGGCGGCGGCGCGGCGGGACCACCCGGGGCCACCCGCGCCAGGTGAGGCCGACGTGGCCGGGAGCGCTGGGCCGGGAGCGCGGAGGAGCAGCACGCGGCCAGAACCGAATCGGGATGGAGCCTCAGCCCGGGGGGAAGGGCGCTCGGGCCGCGCCACCTTCACTTCTCAGCACGTGATTTAACTCAGAAGAGGGCACCTCTGGCATCCTCGTCAGCCGCCTGCTAGGAACAATGCCCGGCAGAGCTCTGCAGGCCGGGCACCAGGCCGAGGCCCGCAGCTCGGGGCACGACGCCCAGCCCGCCTCACCTCGCGCCGGAGCTGGGAGCCTCTCAGGGCGTTCTGCGTTTCGTTTCTGACAATAACCTTTCTGAAGACCTGGCATGTGCTTGAGATTTCATAACGCTGGGAACTTGAGCGAAAAATAAAGTACTGGATTCAGATCCACTAATTCCCTGGCACAAGACCCAACAGGGAGGGTTTGATCGGTGTCCGTGAGATGACCGAACCAATAAATCCAAGTAGCTGATTCTGAAGGTAAAACCAAAGTTGACAGGATAGCATGAGACACGTATCTTTACACTAGACCTCAAGGGAAGAACTCCGAGATGCCCCTCACTGTAGATATTTTCGTGAATTTAATAATAATTGTGAACATTTTTGAGTGCTTTTTGTATGCCAGGCACTGATCTTAGTTTTTTGCGTGAATTATGCCATTTAATTCTCACTTTAACCGTATAAAGCACTTAAGTAGTATTTTATCACGTTTCAGATGAGGGAACCGCAGCGCAGAGAGGCTAAATAACAGCCCATTCACGGAGATAAAGTGAACTTTTCTTAAGGTTTAAAGTGCATGGTTTTCATCATGGGTGAATATGTATTTAGTGATGGATGAGTACATAATTGTCTCTCTCCTGACTCTATTAAATACTTGCCGTACTTCTAAGGAACGAAGATGCACCTACTGAGCAATGGTGGTGTTCTATGTTCAGCACACTCCACTTTTTAAGGCACTTTCATAATACAGCCTGACCCTACAGGTAAAAAGCTGGCGACCCTTGACACCACCAACCCACCTCAACACAGAGCAATAGGACCCTTTTTGAAATTGGGGTTAATATAAGGAAAGCAGAAGTTTTATAACTTTTAAGTATCCAGAATTTAAAATTATACTAGAAATATTATTTTATGGTTTTATAACTGTATTAACTACTACTATATCCATTTAATTTTAAAATGCTTGAAATGGAAGGAATGGAATTATTTATAATTTTGTTTTTTGAGGTGTTTTTTTTCTCTTGTCCCTAGTATTGAATAGAGTCCTGAAATCTTTCCTTCATGTGCAAGCATTGCAACAAACAGGACTTTTGTAGAGGGAAACACTGAAATTAGATCTCCTTTCTTAGTTGACTTCCCAGCCCTTTCTCTCCATCTCCACCCGGCAAGAGATGCGATAACTGCTAGTCTTCAGCACCATTCTCATCTAGGGTATCTCCATCAGGACCTATGGATAAAGAAACTCAAGGTGAGCTGAAGGGGATGGTGCAAGACGCCAGGAAAAGCAACTGGTCATTGACAGTCAACGTTTCTAAATTAATCAGAACGTCAAAGTTATTTGCTGTTTCCCATCATTACCAGATCACCTGAGGGGAGGAAACTGGCAAAATAAAAACTAACAAGGAAAGCCCATTCGAGGTCCTTGCACTTATTGGAATCATCTTCGACCAGACAGCCACATGACCCTCTCTCACCAGGGTCAGGTCTCTGCCTAACTGTTCTCTTCTCAGGGTCCTTCCTAACCGCCCTGCTTGAAATTGCAGCTTCCTCCCCTGTATTCCCTTATTCTCCCTCCTTGTTCTCTTTTTTGCCATAATACTCACCACCTTCTAACATACTGTATCATCTACTGATTTATTTTATTATCTGTCTTCTGCCAGCACAATGTAAGCTCCTGAAGGCAGGAATTTTGTCTGTTTTGTTCACTGAGGCATGCCCACCACCCAGAACAGTCCCTGGCACATTATAGGGACTCTATAAATATTTATTGAATTAATTAACTGAATGAATAAAATGAAAACAAGAGAAAAGACCAACCAATTACCTACTTTCCAAAGAAAAGTGAGTTCCACTAAACAGAATCCTAGAAGCCATGTTGCAAAGAGCAGCCCATTTTTGTACCTACGTAACTGCTGCCTGGTGACTGGAAGGTCCTGGGCAAGTTCCCTGAAGCTCTGAAACCTACTATTTGGGTATAAGAAAGAACTTTTGGTCTAACAGAATATGATTCCAAACTGATAATGACTAAAGATAATAGCTAAAATTAAATTTACTATGGCTAATAATGCTACTGATGATAATCAGTATTTTAATTTGTTTGGAACTTTTGGTTTTTGTTTTTCTTTTTGTTTTTTAATTTACTATTTTTTTTTTTTTTGGGTGAGGAAAATTAGCTCTCAGCTAACCTCTGTTGCCAATCTTCCTCTCTTTTTTTGCTTGAGGAAAATTAGCCCTGAGCTAACATCTGTGCCAGTCTTCCTCTATTTTGTATGTGGGTCACTGCCACAGCATGGCTTGACAAGTGGTGTAGGTCCACACCAGGATCCAAACCTGTGAACCTGCGCCGCCAAAGCAGAGTGCACTGGACTTAACCACTACACCACGGGCCGGCCCCTGGAACTTTAGTTTCGTTTTGTTTTGTTTTTGGTGAAGAAGATTGGCCCTGAGCTAACATCTGTTGCCAATCTTCCTCTTCTTTTTTTGCTTGAGGAAGATTAGCCCTGAGCCAACATCTGTGCCAGTCTTCCTCTATTTTGTGTGTGGGACGCTGCTACAGCATGGCCGGCTAAGCGGTGGTATGTATGTCCACACCCGGGATCTGAACCCTCGAACCCCGGGCCGCTGAAGTGGAGCCTGCGAACTTAACCACTATGCCACTGGGCCGGCCCCTGGAACTTTAGTTTTAATATTTAAATAATTACACTAATTATTTTATATCAGATATGAGGTTCAATACACATTATACTTACAAGGAGCTAAGAAGCATCTATCTCTAATTTGAGTACAATTTACTGTAGTCTATAGGATACAATTTATGTAAACCTAGTGTACAAGCTACAGACTATGAACATTTAAATTACTTCCAAACTTATATCAGGGTCTTGCCAATAACCTTCTGACACCCATCATTTAAAACTACCTGAACAAGACTTTCAAGATTTTTGATAATTTGACAATTTTTTTTAGCTTGTGCAAACACACATATAAAGACTGAATTGTGATGATGAAAGCCTTGATTATTCTTGGAATGGCTGATTTCTAAAATCTAGCAGCTAACATTTTACTCTAATCCTTTAAGGATTATTCATTCCGCAGTCACAAGAGAAATGCAAAAGGTCATGGCTGGGTTTCAGCTTCTCCTCATGGAAGCTCACTTTTGCTCTCTAATTTTGCTGATTACAATTTATTTATATACTTGAAATATAATACTCTCTCTATTTTCAATTTAATAACTATACACGAAGAAAACTCTTACATTTTTCAATCCAAAAAGTTAGGATGAGAGGTGAAAAAGTACTTTTAAAAGCCATCGAGCCTTAGACAGACCTTAGGAAATGCATAGTCATACACAGTAGACAGTCAATAAATAAGAGCTATTAATGCTGAATGACAGTTAAGTCATAAAATCTGAGTGCTTAGAGGAACTTTGGAGATCTTCTAACCTGATGACTGTTTAATTAATTAATAATTAATTATTACTAGATTTCAAAGTGACAGAATATAATCTTTCCTTTGCAACAGTAAAAGAAGTTGTGATTGCTCAATGCACGTCAGCTGGGAACCAAACTTCAATCTCTCACCTGTACTCAAGTGACATTCTTTGAGAGTAAGCGAGGTGCCTACTGTGCCAGCACTTAGGTAGCCACCGACAAAGCTGGCTAACATCAACGGACTAAGCTATGTTGTCCAATTCGTTGTTTAGTGCCTCCTCCACGGTGAATGCTTTCTGGTGGGCATAACCACGTCACACAAAGATCTTCACACTTTGTGCCTGTTGATGAATAAATAAAAAGCAATAGGATATATTGGAGTATATGAGGAAGTCATTCGGTTTAAAACTAATTCGGCCTGACTTTGTTTTTCCAGAAAGGCCCGACATGGCCTGTTGAGCATGCATTGCACGTCTGCTTTAAAGGTTTACAATATCTCAAAGACAAGAATGATGCCCTTAAAGATAGTGATGTGGCTTCCCCCCATATCAGCATTTCCTTAAGGATAAGTACTTTTTCCAAGACACTAAGGATTAATTACTGACCTGCTGTGCTCACCTCATGACCACAGACCTGCTGACCACCGACTTGCTGTGCTCACCTTGTGACCACTGACCTGCTAACCATTGACTTGTGCTCACCTTGTGCCCACTGACCTGCTGTGCTAGCTAAGCATTTCGTGACAGTAGTAAAAGAGATATTCCTGTCATATGTGATATAAGCTCTTTGTTCCAAGACTGTATATAACCACTCTGTACACCCCACTTCTTTGGCATGCTTCCTTCCTTGGGGAAGGAAGCCCCCAGGCTATAGTCCTCAGACCTGGCCCATATAATAAAC